AGGCATGGTACAACGAATGGTAGCCAGAAGTTGAAAACATTACAATAACTGTTTTATATTACAAGTTTGACAAACAGTGGAATATAAAACCATTATTCTTTCACTTGATTTTGATATGCTAATTCTGCCACAACTACCCTAGGACTAACTGACAAAAAGTGGCTGCCAATCCATACCAACTAGCCTGATTCATCAGTCGGTTTCACTTCATGGAAACTGTCTGACCTCGCAGCATTAGGATTTGTTCGGTCGACGGTAGGCTACTTTTTATTTAACCAATCGCTGCTATTTGGTCGTGACTTTCTACGTAATGCGCTAAAACGCTCAGTGGTGTACAAGTAATTGCCGGCACAAGAGCAAAGAAAGTAGAGAGTGAATATGTCTGTCAACGATCATTGCTGTTTCTGCGAGGTGAACTTGTGAATTAAAGGTGCAATAAAAAATGCAAAGTTTGTATTTGACAAAGGAAATCCAAAGGAGGATAGTGTCTGCAGTTTGCATCTCGGGTTTGTTCAACTCTTCGATGATTGTCCGGTGTGCGGTCTACAACTAGACCAAACCATCTAGTGTATTCCGATTCCTGACCTAGTCGCTGGAGACAAATGAAATTGAGTGGAGGCACTAGGTGATGTAAGTCTGGCTACATGCCAACAGCCTCTCTCACAAACCACATTCAAAAGTCATACAATTGCAATAGGGTTTTGGCAACTGACTAATAATTTATCATGTAATCAAAGCCTAAAATGAGAGCAAGTGTGTTGGCGTGTTAGCTTGTGTAATTTAATTTAACAGTTTATATTTGATTTTAGTTATTGATTGAATTGTCCAGAAAAAAAGAGTATAAAACGGTGGACCAAGCTTCCAGCACAAGTCAGTATTATGGTCTGCTCTAAAGACACAGTACTTTAGTTTTAGGGCAGTGCATCACCATGTCTCTCAGCGCTCCACACTTCAGCATCTAGAGCATGTTGCTATGACGACAGTGTCAGTGGAGGAGAGGCTGTGAGCACAGACCTGTGACCATTAGAAGGTAAATGAGTCTCCAACGACACAGTGTTACAGTTAATGAGCGGACATCACAGTGCTCTAATGAGACCCCCACTGGAGGACTTCTTATGCTGCACACACACTAAAGGTTATCAAGGTGAAATCCTCTGCATTATTGAATACAGAAGAGGAGTGTAATAAAAGTTGTATTGTGAAAATCCTCTTGTTTTTTTCATCTGTAACTCAGTGTTAACAGTTGGCACATAACCATAAGGGTTCAAATTGTGGATCTCAGAGCAATTCTTGTTGGCCCTCAAGCATCCTGCTGAATTGGCCCAAATGCAAATTGCAATAGGCTTTGTGCACTGTAGCACAATTGAGAAAAAGCACATAAACAGTGTGAATTAGGTGCATGCTTTTTAACAGGAGGAAAGTCTCATCAGTCCTTTGTGTGTAAATGCAAGTCATCTTAAATCTAAAATCTACTGAAAAGTGAAAATTGTCCATCACTTCATCCTTTGTTTGCGTCATTTGAATTTGAGGTTGAGGTAATCACAAACACAAGTACAAGTTAAAACACAGCACACATTTCAGAGCATGCCAAGGTATGGTTTGGAACACAAGGTTACAGTCTGAACAATTGCTCAGAGACAGAGGGGGTGGGGACAGTGCCGGGGTTGTGGGGAACACAGCCTGGTTATAACAATGACAAATAGTTTAGGTTTTTTTTACATATTCAAATTCCTCAAACCAAATTGGCAACATTATTTTGCTCTTAAATTAAAATAATCGATCAATCTTCTATACTTATAATCACAAGTTACTCCAGCACCTCTTTTTAATGTTGAGGAACAGAAGTCCTACCTGAAGCTCCTTAAATTAAAGATTGTATTTAATACTTCCAATGAATTATTATGAAAATCACAAGGACCTATATTACGCAAAATGGACTCTTGTGAGCTTTTAACCATATTATAATGTTGCTTCATCAAAAACACGCCTAGAGTTGTTTCATTCACACATGAGTAACTCTTTATTATATGGAACATAATTTGTTCCATTAGATTTGAATTTTAAATACCACTGAATTTCTCACGTTGAATATTTTAAGTATGAAAAAAGATGTTTGAATGATATTTATTTTGAATTTTAGTTGGTGAAATTTTAAGTGTACATTTCAATATGTTTCTAATTCAAAATAAAAATAAAAAATACACAATATACATTTTCAAGCCCTCAAATTCAACAGTCAAAATTCAGAATCAATCGATCCTGTGTGAATGAGGAGGACAGAGCCTCTTTCCTATTGGCCGTTCTCATCTGTGGGTGGAGTTTACACTTAAAAAATAAAAGAGATGAGGTTTTGATGAGGTGAAATCTGACCAATTAGATCGCTTCACTGCACCATTTCCTGTTTGTTACCAAGTAAGATCCCATCACTTTGGATCGATTGCTTCTGCCTTGGCATCTTGGATTTTTGCTGCGATTTTTTCACTGCGAATTTTACACTCTGAATTTTGACTGTTGAATTTGAGGGTTTGAAAATATTTGTGTTTGTTTATATATATATATATATATATATATATATATATATATATATATATATATATATATATATATATATATATATATATATATGTATATATATATATACACATATATATATATACACACACACACACACACACATACATACATATATAATTTGAAACACTTTGAAAATGTACACTTAAAATTTCATCAACAGCCTTTCAGAATAAAAATAATTCAAACATGCTTTTTTTTTAGAGTTAAAAAATTCAAAGTGAGAAATTCAACGGCAATTAAAATTCAAAATCTAATGGAACTAATTATCTTTCATATTATTATTTATTATTAGTCTGTCTACATTTCCAAAGCTCAAAATGCTCTGCTCCACCTTGTGATGTCACGAAGCAGTGGTTTTCATGTTAACAGCTACCTTTTAACTTTGGTTCAATAGAGATCGGCAATTCCACAACTGAAATTAAATTATGATTCTAGTGAAGGTTTAAAAACACAGTGAAGGACTTCCTGTATTACCAGATGACATCACAAGGTGGAAGAGAGTGTTTTTAGTTGGAGAGAAAATATGCATGTTTTTGATAAGGAAACAACATTATAACATAGATCAGAAAAAAGCGAAATATAAATAATATATAAATAATGTTTCTTGTGGCTGGATGGTTTCAATCTCTGCAATCATGGTAATAACAGGGCCAGAGACTGCATGTAACAGTTCTGACCCAGTTTCATTCTTATTGCAAAACGACAAAAATCAAGAGTTAGAGGCTGATTCTAGCTGATCCATCTGCAGTGGTCAGGCTTCACCAAGCAACACAAAGGATCTGAAATTACCCTCAACCTTGTCTTTTGTTAAGGCTCAGGGGGTCAGTGTTTGTGTGGGGGCAGAGGGAGCGTGCACGGGCTGGGGCTGTGTAGATCTCAGATACGAAATTCAGAGCTGCATTGTCCATGTGGAGAGATACAAGGATACAAGTGTGCTGGTGAAAGGATATTGAGGGCACAGAGGCAGGCGAGTAGGTGATGCTGTGTTCAAGGAAAATTGGAAAAAGGAGAGCTGGAGGCAAAAGTTAAAATAGACAAGACCAAGAAGCAGGGTTTAGGCCCGTTGACTGTCAGTCCAAAAGGATTTACCCAGCTATCAAAATCTGCTGAAGAATACAAGGTTGATAGCTAAAGGTCTGATCTTAATGAAATAAGACATGCTATAATGCTGTTACACCATCAAAAACATACCTGAAGTTGTGTTTTGTTTCATTCATACATGTTTGAGTAACACTGAGTACACTGAGTAAGGCGTATGGAGTTTAAAACGTAGTGGAGCACTTCCTGTATTATAGGTGGAACAGAGTTTTCTGTTTGAGAGAAAAACTCAGAATAAATATGCAGGGTTTGTGTGTTAAACATGTGTGAATGAAACTAAACACAAGTCTGTGTATGTTTTTTATGAGGAAACATTATAATAGATTAAATATACATACATAATATGGGCCCTTTAATTAAAGGTGCACAGCCTAGTATTAAACTAAACCTATTTAACATTTATTGCTCAAAGAAACCTTCAAATAATGCATTTGATTTTATTGTGTTGCTGTGTTGAGGTCACTTGGTTGTTTCCATGTTGATAGATTAGGTTAATGCCACCCTGTGAAAAATTGTAGCCATAAACCCAAAGCATTAACATCTCCATGGAGACAAGCAGGTGACAGACCTACTCTAGAAAAGTTACTTAGTTAAGTTTTATATTTATATTTGTATTTTTCTTGCATGTTTCCTATTTCATGTCCTTGGCTTTGAAAATCTTGGCTGGACTGACAGTGAACAGACTATAGCAGGAGTACCTCTCTGCTCTTCTCTGCAGCTGCTGTAGTTGTCTGTAAAACATTGAAAACACCGCTTGAATAAAAGCCACACAGCGCAATGAGATGAAGGAAGCCAGATGGGTTCAGTTTGAGATGAAAGCACACTGTCACCAGAATCCTTACAGAACACTCCCAGACAAAATTACACAAAATATGTGAAGAAAAAGAACACAGCTAATACAGCTTCTTTCTAACAGTTGTACCTGTTATCCTACACAGTACTTGAGTTCTGAATGTACAAATTTCTTATTTGATAAACTTTGAAAATTAGCAAGGTAGTATTCTGAAAATAAAACAGCATTTGTATGAAGATGGATATGAGTTTAACAAAACTACACTAACAGTAGATAATACATTGTGCCGCTGCACCATGCCAGGAGGGAGCGCTGTTGGGTCTTCACATGTTCGTTCGTTTTTGATGGCAGTATTGACCTGTCTGCAGCTAAGCAACTTGCAGGTGATTGGCTGACCGTAAAATTAGCTTGACTGAAGAAAATATAGAATCTATACGGACAAAGACGATACACTACTTCAACTAAAAACAAAGAAACATACAACGTAAAAATATATAAGAATTGTACCTTTAAGTGTATCCATTGATAAGATCTATTAGAGGGATATATCCAGGTTCCACACACTGCAGCCCCCACATGACAGAGAAGAGTCCGGAGTGGTTAATAACAATGGTTATGCACAAAATCATAAACATCATCAAAAATAACACAAGCAGTGTATTGCCCAAAGGCACGTTGCCATAGAGATGTGTGCTGACACGTGGATCCTTCGGGCTTTGGTATTATGCTAGTGCTTGTCAATGAAGTAAAGAATCAAATTCTCGCAACATCACATGCATTAGCACAAGAGCCTGTCCTAGCTAACCTACAGTGTGTCCCTGTGCATGTGACTGTCTGAGAAATTGTTACTTTATTCAGAGAGTTGCACTGACTTCTCCAGTGCTGAAAGAAAACATTTTCATTTGGTAGAAGACACAGCTGGCTCTCATGGCTAAGTTTAAATCTCATAAGCATACAACAGGCTGTTGGAACATGCAGTGGTCTCCCAAGCTACTTCAAAAACATATGCCAGACTCAAACTAGTAAACTGTCGCAAATTGAAAAAAATAAAAATAAAATAAAAAAAATAAATGCACACAATTTTGTAATTATTAATTAGCCAAGAGGGATGTATTTTACTGTATGATTCATTTTATACTGATGCCTAATAAACATGATGTATACTTCTACTATCCCCTCAGTGGTCCAGGTAGAATCAGTGTCAAAAGAGAAATGCAATTCTGTCAACTGGACAAAAGTTGTTTTTTTGTTTTTTGTTGATCAAATTCATTTTGCAGCTCATCCAAGCTGCTTCTTCACTTCCGGTCTGATTGATGATGGACACTTTCTTATATCTGCTTTAAGGTAGGAGCTAACAACACAGAGGGATGAATGATTATGCTAATATGATTCAGGCACTGTTCCCTCTTAGTGCAAGTGTTCAATAACCAGGCTGACGCCACGTAGTGCCTCCACTCAATTTAATTTCTCTCCAGCAACTAGGGCAGGAATCAGAATACACTAACACCGGAAGCGTGAGTCCGGGCACCAGCCAATCAGCGAAGAGCCATATATTCTGTGTTGGCAACGATTCCCGAGATCAAGGATTTAAAGCCGGAACAAAGAGAATGTTTGGTGAATTTTATCAAGGGGAAAGATGTTATTGCCCTTTTCCAATGGGATTTGGGAAAAGCTTAATATACCAGTTAGCCCTGTTACAGGTGCATTACATACATCACGACCAAATAGCAGCGATTGGTTAGATTAAAAAAAGTACCCGTCTACCGTCGAGCACGAATACTAATGCTGTGAGGTTAGACGGTTTCCATGAAGTGAAACCAGCTGATGAATCAGGCTAAATTTTCAATAGACCTAGCTCACAAACAGAAACTGTAAACAAGTAGGTGTGTTAGCTTCAAAGTAGTTTCAGTGTTGTTAGCTCCTCCCTTCAGGCAGTGTCCACCGCATCTGACCAGAAGTGAAGAAACAGCTTGGATGAGCTGTGAAATGTATTTGATCAAAAAAACTTTTGTCCAGTTGACACAAGTGAATTTCTCCTTTGCCATTTATTAGAATTTATCTACTGAAATAAACTTGATAAAAACTGGATTGAATGAGAAATTAGTAGAAAAAAAAAAAGGATTTGTACAACTGAAAACAAAACAAAAAAAGTCAGATAAAAAAAAATAAAATAAAATCCTGATATTCCTTTGTCTTTTGCATATGTCTCTGAAGTAGCAGAGGCTCTCGAGCGCCCCCCTCCCCCCGTGCTCACCAATACAGGTAGTAGAAGAAGGACAGGACGAAGAAGGACAGCTTGCACCAGGCCTCCTTCAGGCAGAACTTCAACGTGTCTCCGTTCATGACTGACGCTGGATCGTAGAGCAGCTCCTTGGTGTCGGTGGGCGAATGAAAGTACCTACCACAGGGGGCAAAGACCACACAGCGGGTAGTTGACCCGTTCACGAGCCCGGGGGGGGAGGGGAGGTGTGGGCGGGATGGGATGGGACAGGATGGTAGGAATATGGGAGGGATGGGGAGGACAGCACGGAGAGAGATGGCATGATGAGTAAAGAGGACACATCATGCAGCAGAGAAGGGAGAGCTCAGAGAGAAAATTTAAAAGACTGTTCACAGATGACAAGAGAACTGCTCTGGTCAAATCAGAAACCTACTGAATCCTGCTACTACTACAACAACAACAATATTTTTGCTCTTTGTTATTATGATATAGTGTGATGTGTGAGCTACTGTATCCAAATTATTCCCTTGTGGATCAATAAAGTTTGTATATGTCTAAATTTATTTAAAGGTGCACTGTGTAACTTTTCTGCTGAAGGATCTGCACGTTTGACTCCATGAAGATGTTATTGCATTAGACAAGAAGACAAGAAGATGAGCAACTGGCAGACCCTTCACCAGGAAAGTTACACAGTGCCCCTTTAAAGAGATCTAGTAAGACTGTAAAGGAAAACTACAAGTCTGAGGTGGTGGAATTGTAATGAAGTAAAAGTAGTAAAGTTCTGCACTTCAGTATAATTTTTAGATATATGTACTTTATTTAAATATATTTTAAAGTGGATAATTTTTACTTTTACTACACTGCAAGAGCAGATAAATGTATTTTCTACTAAATTTTGAACAGGACTGAAAAGAAAATGTTTTTTATGATAGTTTGAGACCTGCTGAAAAGGCTAAGAGTTTTCATGTCTTCATAATTTGAGCAAATAAAAATAAAAACAGCAAGAAAAAAATTATAGTTGTTCAGTTGTTTCTGCTATACAAAATTCACCACACATCTTTAACAAAATCAATGCATTTGAGGGTTTTAATTTTACTCTTAAAGTACATTTTTAAACAGGTACTTTAATACTTTAACTTAAGTAGATTTTGTCATGTGTTACTTTTACTTCTATTTCTAGAAGAAGTACTATATTTAGTATTTCTTTGCTCCAGTATCTGAAGTGACAACACTGAGCACTTCTTCCACCACTGTGTGTCTGTGCATTGTGACTTGGAATAAGAAATTATGCTAAACATTGTGTATTAAAGTGAACGTCTGTGAACAGTCATTTCAAAGTTTTCATGTTATCTTGAAATAAACAAGATAAGTAAGAGTTTGTTAAGATTTGAATCAATATTCAAACGTAACTTCACCCAAGTCTGCAGTACAGTTACACAATCAGCTGTGGGGTCATGTGATATTCAAGAATAACACAGATATTCTGCAGTATCTCTATAGGACCCCACAGGAGATGTACTGTACATGAATACTTTTCTTCACAATGGATCACTATGAAGAATGCACCACTTACACTGAGATGGTCGACTTCATGTGAAACAGATCCTGGAAATGTCATCTCTTATATTTGTCCCAGTTTGAATAGGACTCCAAGCCTGTTACATGGATACACACACTCTGCATAGGCCCTTTAATGTGTGCATTGTGTAAAGTCAATAATTATGGTCAACTTGAACATCTTTTCAATTTAAATGAATGCACACTTGCTTTAAAGGACCTATACATATTATTATATTTGTCAAAAAACATGGATGTAAAAAAAATATAATAATATCATATCTTTTAAAGGCCCTGTACCCAGTTTAGAACCAAAAGTGTAGAACATGTTTTAGTTTAAACTTTAGCCCCTCCCACTTGGTCCTTTCTCTCACATGACAGAGAAAAGTTTGGCCTACTTTCATACACTGCATTGCATTGTGTAAAAGAGCATTAACCCGTACTAGAAGAGAAAAAGTCAGGTACAGAACCTTTATCAATAAATCAGTACAACATACATAAGCACAGTGGTAGGTGATATTGACAAAAATTTATATATTTATTTTATTAGATTCTTAGACCAAAAAAGTCTGAAAAATGTATCTAATAAAATAAATGATCGGAAGACCAAATGTTGTTATATACTTTTTTTAAATTTTTTTAATCAGATTATTTTGATCTGTCTAGGCTGAGGCTTAAGCCTTGCACAAAATTTGAATGAACAATAAAATTAATCACAAAAGGGTAGAAATGTCACTTTATACCCTTGTTTTAGAGATTATACTAAATGTTTCTATCTGTTTTTGAGTAATTTTTTATAGTTTTAATAGTAGTATACACTCGTACTATTATCACCTACCACTGTTACCACGCTGATCCAATGGTCTTATCAAATGGTAATAAGACTGCAGTACAAATGAAAGATGTACTCCACCATAGTCACTGGTTAATTCACACTGTGTTGTAACAATGGCAACAACATGAGCGTAACAGTTAGTTTACATAAATTAACTCCACATGACCCATGCACGTATGAAATATTCATGTATGCATCTTCATGTCATCTTCGTCTTGACACAGCGTTTGGTCTCATGCATTGTGTACAGAGATACATGAATGATGACCAATGATGAGGAGGTTAGCGTTATACGGGAAATGCTATGTAAAGAGCATACCATCAATCAAAGGATCATAACGTAGCGTGAGGTATAGCCCGCATTTATAAGCCCATACTGACAGAGATAAAACATCAATGCAGCATCATCTTCCTGGGCTTTCCACTTTGCTCTGATCTGTACAAACCTAATCTGGTGTCAAGAGCTGTTGCCATGGAAACCACTCCCATCTTTCTAATTCTTTGGCGTCGGATGAAAGCAGCGTCACTCTCCTTATGTTTCTGTATGCACCTGGATCTTATAGCCCAAGTTAAAAATCATTTTGTCTTTACATTGCAACTGACCGTACATAGTTTAACCAAGAGAGTGAAACCAGCAAGTTCCTGTGCTAACTACCTGTTTTATTAAAAGCTAAAAATAATATCTAAAAATTGAGGTAGCTTTATATTTGAGGTATATACTGAGAAGACATTCTTGCCTTGCATACTGCTGTTGTGTCCTTGAGAAATACACTTTTACCTATATTGTTTATATGAATGTGCCAGTGTGGTTGTGACTGTTAGTGGTAAGAAAGACTGTAAGCATGGAATTAGCATCCATATGGCTTTAATTACCTCCATGTTATGTCACTACGTGTAGCCTACAGTGATGAGAAAAACACTTTGAAAATGTATTTAGTTAATTCGGAATACCTGCAGTGTTTTGCAACGTATTCTGATACATGGCAAGTCAGAGTACTGTATTCTGAGTAATACAACTATTTTTACAGAGTTGCATTAAAATTGAAGTGTGAAAACATAACAAAGGATTAAGAAGAGCTTCATTTTGTTTCACAGTTTCTTCTGCATTTCCTATTACTCACTAGAGAAGGAAAAATCACACACGCACTCGCCACAGAAAATCAGTTTTTCTCATTTATATCGTGCAGTTTGAAGCCTAAATTGTGACATGAAGTATTGCAAAGTATTCTTTTGATTTTAGAAAACTGTATTCTGAATGCCATTTAATGAAAAATTAGCTGTACTGGAAAACAAATACTCAGAATAAGTATTCTCTGTGCATGTATTCAGTTACTTCCTAACACTGCTAACCTAAATACTACTACTATTAGTGGATACGCTCAATACCACTATATATAGAAACAAGCAATTTAGCAATTACAGCAGGGTATACTTCCAGCTATTAAGATATAAACTAAAAATAGTTTTGTTCCTCCGCCTGTTTCCTGGGTTATTCAGTTTGTTATAGATAGTGCTTTTGGGCCTATAGATTCACTTACTGCTCCTTTATTTGTTTCTCTGCCCCCTGCGTCCTGGCTCTCGTCTTGTCAGTATTAGATCAGTGTCCTCTCAGTAACTCAGCCTAACCTCAGTTCTTCTTATCCTGCTCCATCTCTGTCGGACTCTCCCTCTCTCTCCTGTCGCACTCCACTCTATCAACTGCTCGCTCGTCCCTGCCGCTTTCAGCTGTGCAGGAAGCAGCATCTGTAGCCGCTGGCCTTCAGGCTCCGGCTCCACTAATGAGACAGCAAGAACACTTTTCGTCTGTCTCCTCCTTTCCTCTCCTTCTTTCCTCTCCTCCTTTCCTCTCCTCGTGTAAGTTTAAGCAGCTGAGCAGGAGAGTGGAGGCCATTGCACCGAGAGCCGAGAGCAGTCATATAGCTACAAAGGAACAAGGAACAAAGGGACTGGCATCGCTTTTTATTCACCTCACTTCGGGTCTAAAATCTGGAATCCTCCTTTTGTCTGTAAAGGGTTCATTAAGCCGTTCAGGGTATAGTAGTAGTAGATGCATTGCCATGGCGATATTACACAGTCTGTTGCCCCTAATGCTATTGTCTTCAATGTAAGTATACTAGTATATGTGGTTGTGTCTTTTGTGTGAGCCATGCTTTAGGCCTGGTCTATTCCTGGTTTTGTTTGCATTTATTTAGGCCTGATTTAAACCTGTTTTGCCTTTAAAGATGCACTATGACACTTTTCTGGTTTGGGGTCTACCATCTGCTTCTCCACGGGCGTGATATTGCCTGGAATATTCCACGGTATGGCATTAAATGTATCTGGCAGTTAATTAACTACATTTGTTTTTATTGATTAAGATGTCTTGAAAAACACGCTTTGTTACTGTCACGTCTTCACAGATCTGATGCGTAACTTGACCAAGTAGCTTTACCTGGATGTTTCCATAGATACAATATGTAATGCCGTACTGGAGAACATTCTGGACAAAGCAAAAACATCAATAAGGGCAAGCAGATGGCAGACCCACCACCAGAAATGTTACCTGGTACCTGTTAGTGTACCTTTAATTTAGCCTTCCTTTTATCTTTACCTTTCATTTGTATTTTCATATACTACGAATACAGATTTAGCCATTTATATTGTTATCCAAATACTACCATATTCTTTAAATATTTTTGCATGAGGCTTATCTGTTTTGACAAGAAATTATTCCCAATCCCATTCCATACTTCATAAAATAATGTGTCATCATCATCTAATCATCTAACCTCCATCTGTCTCTAGCCCTTTGCAACTACATAAATAATACTCCCAAAATACAAAATATGCACTGTTCAAACTCAATGTGCTGTAAAATCATTACAATAAGCCCTGCTCTTTTTACTTAAGACTCCACACTCTATTAGCAGCACTAACGCAGTAAAAGAGCCGTCTGATCTGTCCCTATCTCTCCCAGTATAGTCCTGTGTACATCCAGGCAGACAGTATAGTTACCTCCATGTGTTGTAGAAGAGCAGGGGGATGTTGAGGCCCACCGTCAGCCACTCCTGAGCGCACAAGAACATAATGCAGAAGAGCCCATGGATGGAGTACTCCGGCAGCACCAGCTAAACACACACATACACCACATCAGTTTAGTGATCCAGTAGTAACTGTAGACAGGGTAAAATGGTCTGTGGAAGATATGAGGTACATTTTTAGCCAATAAAGTTACTTGCTCTTGTAATGCACTGGTCTTACACCACAAAAACTAAAATCTAGCCAAGTTAATATTACTTGAATTAAGAAAGTTTTATCATGGTTTGAGTAAATTTCACTTGACAAGTAAAATTATCTGCCAATGGAACCAGACTTTGGAACAAGACCAAGTCAAGTTGCTGTACGATTTAATACAATATTCATTCACTACCCAGACTTGTGATGGGGAACGGTTATCATTAGGGATGCACCGATACTGGTATTGAATGTCAGTGCTGATACTGAACATTTTTGATGCATCGGATTTCGGTTTCAAGATACTGGTTCAGTCAATATCCCATTTTATTGGGACAATGTTGGCCCAAAACACCATATTTTTCAAAACTGTTCTGTAGTTACCTAAATGATAAATAATACTTACAAAAGACATTTATTTGGATGATTTGTTTTTGCCATACGCTGTTTAAAGAAAATAAATCCTATTTGCAGTCTCTGTACTGGTATCGATTGAGATAGGGTATTGGTATTTAAAGCCAAAGTATCAACATTTGTATAGGAACAGATAAAGCTGGACCATTGCAACCCTAGTTAAGATTCTGTGTAAATAAATGCACCCATCTAGTTGGATTATCTGTCATCTGTTATACTCAGGTAAGTCTTATATTAGTGTAGCCCGGTGGCCAAGCTCCATCTTTCTCACAATAACCATGGGGTATGGCATCTGAAAACAGGAGCATGTGCTGCCAAAGCACAGAGTGGCACCTGTGTCCTGAGGCTGAACGATCCCATTGTCCCTGAAGGCACCAGCACAAGTCTCAGAAACAAACATTTGGGAAATAGGCTTATGTCTGTGCAGCTTTACAGCAGCAGCCCATATGAAAGAGCTGAAAGAGCTTTAGGCTGGAGAGGAAGTTTATTTTGGCCAGAGTTTCATTCTGTTAGCTCTTTTCCAAAATGACAAAAAGTCTATTTTTCTTTTTGGCTGAGCTCGGGGTTGTGTTGTAACCATGTAAATGGGCATAGCTAACCTGTATAGGAAGTGAGGATGGGCCGCTTCCAGCTCCATCAACTCTGATTTTACATTGAAAAATTGGCATTTGTCATTTTGGTCTTAAAATGTTCATATTAACCCGCTCTACGTGATCATGGTGTTTTATTTTGCTATGTTGTCTGTTAATAAATTCCTAATATGGAACTCTGCTCCAAATTCGCTCCTATAACTGCTAGCCTCATGAGCTTCATTTGACTGGAGCTGAACACTATGGATGATGTCACACTCCTTTAGTCCATTTCTTTATACAGTCTTTGGATGTAACCTGAAGTGGGTACTGTAGCCAAAAAATAGTAAACAGTAAATCTACTTGAGTAAATGTAACATATACATGACCTAATAACCCCAATATCTACATAGCGGAATAACAACGCAAAAACACAAGCAAGTTCATAAGTACAGTTTATAAAGAACTCAAAGCTTATGTTCAAAAAGACCTGCACCTAGGCTAGACTGTATTTTACATTGAAGACAGAAAGTACATATTGTCACTATCCACTTAACTATATGGGAACAGTTTGTTAATTGAGTTACACAATGCGGTCAGTCCAGCCTGAACAAACACTGGGAAACTGCTTGGCATGCAAAACCACCTGATTCTCCTAAAAAGACTTGTGTAAGAAATGGGCCTTGGCACTTAATATTCAAGGAGAAAGCCACTTTGGTCTCATGTAAATTTAACAGGCCAACACATTACAGTGCCATTGTGGATGCAAACATCACTATAGATGTAAGCACAAAGAGGATGCATAATTCATTCTTGCACATGGCTTTTATTAACGCAAAAACACATTTGCACTCAAAAGCTTGTAAACCGCAGGAGAGTACAAAACCACATTCGTTTTCACACGAGGAGCAGACTCAAAAAACAATAGAAGCACGAAGGCACGGATGTATTTTGTATTTGTTCACCCAGCGGCTCCATCAATAAACATACCACACCCTTAAAGTAAAATGCATTTCAACTATTTATTCACTGATACATATAGATTATTCTGGAATTGATCTTACTTTGGGCCTTAGGGAGTATCCAGCTTTTTCAGTTCAGATACCTGTTCCTATACTATAGCTTTAACCCTCTAGGTGCCACTGTCGACGCTCTGAATAAAATGGCTGATTTGGCCAAATACAATGTATAACAAATTTAAGGAGTTTCATTCAAGATAAACCAGGTCTAAACCAGGTCTAAAGCAGGTCTAAATCAGGACTGAACCAGGACTAAACCAGGATGAAAATAGGTCTAAAACAGGACTGAACCAGGACTCAATCAGGATGAAAATAGGACTAAACCAGGACTAAACCAGGACTAAACCCGGATGAAAATAGGACTAAACCACGACTCAGCCAGGATGAAAATAGGACTAAACCAGGACTGAACCAGGACTGAACCAGGACCCAATCAGGGCTACACCAGGACTAAGATGTCAAAATCAAATGTTTTAGGAAAAACCTCTGGCAACTAAAGGGTTAAGTGTCAATACCCGACATCAACCGATACGAATGCAGGAATTAATAATAACATTTTTATTCCCTTTAAACTAAAATAAAACTAAACTAAACCAATCCAAATGTGTTATGTAACTGTTATTTATCCCTCAAGTAAATAAAAAAATTGACATTACGAGACTTTCTGGGCTTGAGAAATGTCTTATTACATCAATTTATCTGTCCAACCAGGATATCTGCTGGACTGATATTTTGAAACTGAAATCCAACAAAATGTTCAGTATCGGCACCGATATCTGATACCAGTATAAGATCGGTGCATCCCTATTTGGGAGGATACAAACTGCACCGATTGATTGATGGTAACTACTTTCATGATTAAATTCGTCGCATCATGAAAGATTCAACACATCTGCTACCAACCCCTGACCATAAGGTTCACTGAAAAGGAATAAACTGCCGTACAAATATCTACAACTTGTGGTAATTATATGTTTAACACAGCACAGTATACATACAGTCTCCCATGGTTACTGATGAGTAGTATCATTTTTTTCTCCGCTTCATGCCATCTTATGAATGAGTGTGATGATGTTGTGAGAGCAGAGACCCATCTGGGACTGACTCTGGTATGTTTGGCCTGGGGGTTGCCCTTTAGTCAGTCTGATCCAACTCAGCTCTCCTCAAACAACTCCCATCACTCACAGGATGATCCACATTTTACTCATGGGGTTCTTGGTACAGTTGCAGATAGGTTGACAGATACACTTCATATAGATAAGATACATAGACTTTAGATGATGATCAAGAAAGGAAGCATATTTCTAGTTTTGATTCTCAGCCACAGATGTTTATAATAATTTAATGATCTGAGTTACGTAATTGTTGTTATATTCCTAGGTGAGTTTAAGCCACGTTATAATGATGTTACCTCCTCAAAAACACACCCAGAGTTGTGTTTGTTTCATTCACACATTCTGTCTGTCTAAATCTCCAAAGCTCTCAATGTTCATTTCCACCTTGTGATGTCATGTAGTGGTAGTTTTCAGGTTAACAGCTACCTTTTACCATTTGTTCAGTAGAGAATGGACATTTCAACTCTGAAATTATCCAAATGATTCTAGTGAAAGTTTAAGGAGTTTAAAAACCCATTAGAGAACTTCCCGTAGTACCATGAAATCACAAAGTGGAACAGAGTGTTTTCAGTTTGAGGCCCCATCCACACTAGTACGTATTCAAGCCGTTTTCGTTGTGGATGCAATGTTCGTCCACACTAATCCGATGGAAAACGGCTCCAGAGACGGAAAGATCTGGTGCCGCCAGCTCCCACGAATTCATCTGAGTGTGGATCTGATCCTGCACTGTGTGGATGCCTGAAAACACTGATATGCTGATGTAGGTCTATGCGCCGCGACGTAATTCTCCACCAAAATGCTAAGAGGCTAGAATATGTCCATTCTTAAATACGGTTTATGCGTACGACCTGCAGACGTATAACCTCTGAAAAGTTTAACATGAACCATCTCCAAAGTGATAGAAGCACAGAACAGACTCACCAATAGCTGAACACCCCTCTATCACAGAAAGAACACATATAATCCACTGAGTCGTGTCCTTTAGTCTGACAGAAGATGAACCGCATCAGCGCACAATAGTGAGCTGTTTTTTGAGCCCTCAGTTTATGCAAATTAGCCATGCGGTTTTAAGTTAAATTTCTGTAAAATCTAAACAAATATGCTCAAAGTTGTGTGGATAGGGAAGGATTGGGGACACAGAAAGGATGTGTCTGGACGCAAATCGTTTCGGATATGGTGATAAGGTGATTTGTTTCAGTGTAAACGTAGTAAGAGAAAAACACAACCTAAATTTGAAGGGTTTGTGTTAAACGTGTGTAAATGACACAAAACTCCAGATATGGTTTGATGAGGAAACAATATTATAACATAGATCTGAAAACAGTGAAATATGGGGCCTTTAAAAGATTTCTGCATACGAACTAAAAAATGTAATCAGTCAGAACCACAAACTTCCTTTAAAAGTTTGGTAAAATGTGCCCAGATTTTGAAAATAAAAGTTTGGAGAATTTGAAGCAATGAGGACTAAATGGGACCTTTAAACTTATATGTCTGCCAATTTTCTTGTGATGATCAGAAGTGCCCATGTTTGTTGTGTGCAGGAGGCTGGAGGCAGAGCAGATGAACCCACAGATGCACAGCCCTATGCCAGATCTCCACATATGGTGCTGTCCGTCTCCCTCATCTCACTGAGGTCCAGTCTGGCTCTGAACCAAAACGAAAGTATTTCAGCCAGTAGCTAATTACCGCCTCTGCTTTAATATCAATATACAATGTTATTTCTTCAGCCAAAAACAATAGTGCATTTTTCATGATTCATCTCCCACTGAGACGTCTA